AAATTCTAGTTTTGTGGACTTTCTAGCAATTCTGTCCTGGTCTCTTCAGTCTCTCTGCCTTAGTCCATTTGGGCTGCTACGACAAAATACCGTGGACTGGGTGGCTTATAAATAACAGACATTTATTTTTCACGATTCTAGGGCCTAGGAAGTTCAAGATCAAGGTGGCAGCAGATTCAGTGTCTGCAAGAGCCTGCTTTCTGGTTCGGAGTGCCTTCTGGCTGTCTCCTCATGGGAAGGAAGGGGTGTGGATCGCCCTGGAGGTCCCATTATAATGGCACTTAATCCCATTTTTGACCAATCCACCATCAGGGTCTAATCACTTCCCAAAGGCCTTGGGTGTTAGGATTTCAGTGTATGAATTTGTTTTCATGGAGAACAAATATTCAGTCCATGGTGTGTACTGTTACTGTCTTGAGACATTTCATTCAACTCTTTTTGAAATCTTGCCTTTTCCTCGACTTTATTGCATTGTAAATGAAGAAACAAAGTTTTCTTTGTAAAACCCAAGTATGACTGTGTTACTCTCATATTATTTTTATTATCCACAATCCAAATACCTTTCACAAGGTAGCCTAATTATTGTTTCAATCTCCTCTCCCCGCAGTCTCTCATGCAGCATTTGTGCCTTTCCAACAATGACTCTCCATAAAGCAAAAGTCAATTTATTTTCACTTGCACTTGCTTTTGCTCGTACTTCATTCCTGTTACTCAGCTTACCATTCCTCTGCTTTTCCTTCCGTAGAAACTCCTATTCTCACTTCAAGATACAGCTCAGATGCTTCATCCTTTACTGACTAACACTCTTGGACAAGTGGGAGGATAAATGCTGCCACATCTGTGCTCCGTTTACGTAACACCCACATAGTGTTGGCTATGGTAGACGCTCTGCAGCATTGAGTGATCTCCATTACAGCTAAATTCTAGGCTTCTTTAAAGGCTAACACCTTGCTTAGTTTTTAATACGTTACGTGTTTTCCTGTATTGGAAGCACATGAGTTACATACTGGAAGCTTAAAAAAATATGTTCTACCAACTGAGAGGGAAAACTTTGCTTTCTTTTTAGAGAATAAATTCTTAAACTTCTGCTAGAGAGAGGTCCCCGGGGAATGGTCACTTTGGTTCAGGCCAGTGTCATGAAGTTCTAGTTACAGGTCTAAGTATGAGAGTAGAACCCACTCTAGTCCAACAACGCACACTGAAACCTTAATTGTCAAGTCTACAGTCAGCTCCTTAGTCTCCAGTCCTGTTCTCAAATTTAAAATATCACTGCTGAAATATTTTAGATCAGTGCTAAAATAGGAAATTGATAGAAACTAGGGATTATGATAAAGGCAATATTTTTGTTTTGTTTTTGTTTTTTAGTAGCAATAAAATGAAGTATTGCACTGAAGTAGACCTTAAATGTTCTTTGGGACTAAGTTAGATTAAGAGAGTTGCTTGCCTGTCTGCTTGATATAACTACCTGGATGTCTCACAGTTCTAATTTACCAAACCCCAAAGAGAAGTAATCCTCCATTCACATCATCCCCAGTTAATAAAACCTGTCTGCACATCTTAATTAATAGATCTCCCTCTTTTTATTACGGGTTATTACAAGATACTGAATATAGTTCCCTGTGCTATACAGGGGGACCTTGCTGTTTAAGTCTTTTATGTAAAATAGTTTGTATCTGTTAATCCTGAACTCCTAATTTATGCCTTCCCCTCCTTTCTGCTTCAGTTAAAAAACATTTCCCTTTTCCTACATCACTCAGTCTGAACACCGAGGAGACATCTCTGATGCCTCTGCCCCATCACTCCCCGTCATATTCACAGGCAGCCAGTCCAGTCAGCTCTACTGGCAACTTGGATCTCAGATTCATTCATTCACTTCTTTCTATCTTCACAGCTCACATCTACTCTACACCACCAGATCTCCTGCATGATTGATGTAATAGCTTCCCAGAAGGGTAGTCTTGCTTCCATTCTTGGTATTCCCCTCCACCAAAATCAATTTTCCAAAAGCAGTCAATGCTCTAAATACAGAAGTCAGATTATTATACTTCCTTAGCATAAAAGTCTCCAGTGGCTTGTCAGTTTCCCTAGACTTAAGTCCACGCTCTTCACTCTGGCCTATGAGGTCCCAGTCAACCTGCCTCTGCTGCTCCAGCTGATGTAATTAGAGCTTTAGAACAACAGAAAACTAGTATTCCATTGTATAAATATACCATGTCTTCTTTATCCAGTCATCTGTTGGTGGACATTTAGGCTGTTTCCATGTCTTGGCTATTGTAAATAGTGCTGCTATGAACATTGGGGTACAGGCATCTTTTTGAAGTAGTGGAATCTACAAAAAGAAGAAAAAAGAACATAAATACAAAACAGAAACAGACTCATAGAATACAAACTTGTGGTTGCCAAGGGGAAGGGGCGTGGGAAGGGACAGACTGGGAGTTCAAAATTTGTAGATACTGACAGGCATGTGCCCAGGCACAGAGTCACCCTCACTTAGGCCTCATGCTGTGAGATTGGAACAGCACATGGACTGTCAGCTGAGCCCTGCCTCTGCTTTAACAACGGATCTCTAGCAAAGTCACACAGCGTTGGCCTGAAAACTCCCTGCCTTATCTTAGCGTACGTTCTATCCTAAAACTGTATCCGGCAGCGCCACCTGCCAGCGCGTCTTAGAAAACACAGACTCTTCCCTCAGTGAGGACACTTGTCCTGTCTCTTTCCGTAAGGCCTCTTTGACATCAGCCAGGGGGAGAACGCAGGCCCCCAGATGCCCTCGTACTCCACACGCTTCTCCACTTATGTGGAGCCAACCCAGCCCCCAATGCCTGATCAGAGCCCTCCCGTGTCCCCGTCATGCTGTGCAGCGATGTAGGTGGTCACTGTTCATTCCTGGGGATGAGAGGACATACAAGAGCAGATTTCACTGAAAATGTGCGGGAGGCGAGATGGGGATCGTGATGGATGGTGAGCAGCTGGCAGCCGCTGGAGCACGGGTGTCCTGGGCTCCCCGAGGCACTGACTTCTGTGGTTCCAGGCAGATCAGACTTTGGATGGGTTGGATTCCAAAACAGCTGGCAGTCGTTGACTAAGAATTGGAGTTTAACCAGCGAGGAAGTCCCAGACCAACCCCCAAGAGATCTGTCCACCGCTCGGGCTTTGTAAACATGCGCAGGGCCGCCTGCAGGCACAGCCACGCAGCGTCCCGTCCGCGGGCTCTCACTCCCCGGGGCACGTGCATTGGGCAGTGGGCCCACCAGCAGCCAGAACTTGTTTCTTGCCTCCCACCAGCAACTCCCACGCCCCCTGAGGCCCGGGCACGAAGCACACGTCTCAGGGGACCACCCCCACGTCCTGGGACTCCTGACGAATATACCGCGGCCTCTCCTGCCGGCCTGGAGCGCCGGCTCTCCCCGCCGAGGCATCAGTCCCAGAG